AGGGTCAGCAACAACACACCTCCACACACACAAGCACAAAGGCACACATGCACACACCATACCAAATGTGGGTTTACTGAGAGAATGAGCTTGGCAGTGAAGCGCACGATCAGTCTGAGTCAATCCTAAAAAATGATGTGAGTTAGAAGCAGAGTAAAAGGCCAAATAAATGAAAGCTGAAGTCATCCAACAAGATTTATTCGTGTCAAATTTGGTACGTGTGTCTTCAGAATTCACTTACAGGAAAGGGTCACAAGACTTTTTGCTTAATTTTGCAAAGGTGTAATTCCAAACAAATTTCATGTAAGTGAAACAATGTTGAATCTCTGAGAAAATGTTAATGTAGAAACTTTTCTAACTTGAGGCTTCAGCCATTTGGCTTAAATAAATAAACCTTTTAGGTCATATAAACTTTTTTTCTGACTTGTTTCATCTTATATTTATGAGACATAAGAGGTTATGAGGTTTTTCTCTGTATCTATGAAGCGCCTTGAGGCGACATTTGTTGTGATTTGGCGCTATATAAATAAAATTGAATTGAATTGAATTGAGATCATTTCTGCAGAAATAATTCCTTCTGCCTTGCACAGCTGTCCAGTTGAAGGAAAAAAGTCTTGGGAACCATCAATGTCTTTTTTACAAATAATAATGCTATAAGAGATAACCAGAGCCTCCAGCTTCACATCCTCACACCTGCCCATGTATCTCAGCATGTGGGGGGCAGTGAGGTATCACCTTAACTCTTAAACATAAAGCAGAGCCTCCTGGAATGTAGCGCTGTGAGAGGGATCGGATCTTATCAGTTTTGGGGTTTTTTTTTCTTAGTGATATGTTATTCCTCTTTGTTATACGTGTATTTGCATCGGCTTAACATCACTTGAAGATTTAGTTTTTCTTGCATGTGCGTCACTGATGATGTGAAACATGATTTCACATGTTTGCGCTCTGTGGCTGTTTTAGTTTCTGGTTGTTAAGGTGAGGGGAATCACTCCTGAGGCATGCACAGCTGCACCTCACCAGAAGTACTTGTCAGGAAAGAGACGACGGGAGCAGAAAATAGAAAGTTAAGCTGTCTGGCAGTCTGGGATGTGTCAGCGGTAGTTTATGTGAGTAGACTGTAGTAAAATACAAATTGTGAGGTACTTGTACATAAGTATTGCAATTTGAGTCTACTTAGTTCTTATACATCACATTTAAAGGGGAAACCACTTTACTCCAACACAAGAAGGTGACAGTTCAGAGTAGGATTAGTAAAGTAGGTTACCAAATTGCCACAATGACAACCACACAAGCTAATGCATTATTAAATATATCAGTTTGATTAGAGTGTGTCTGGTTAATTATTGCTTTTGCTACTTTAATTTAATTTTACAGCATTTTATATTTTAAGATCAACATTTTGAACATTTTGGATCTTATGTGTGCTTTGCTCAGCCAGAATACTATTATTGTTGCATTGTGTTACTTAATTAATAATGTTACTTAATTTGTAACACTACATATTATATTACTTTTGCATTACCTAACATGGCCTATTCATATAATTACTTTTATCTTTTAAAAGATAAAGTTAAGGCTGCAGTTTCACACACTTGCACAAATTCCTGTCCTAATGAGCACCTGTGCAACAGCTGCTTTTTAGTGTTTGAGTACGAACTCAAAGCCAACAGCAAAGCTGGAAACCATCCCAAAGTACATTTCACGGCATTTGCCATTAATTTTACTGCAAAAACAGAGGCTATGCTTGAACCTGACTCACGTAACAAAAGGCAGGTAACAAAGGCATTGTTACCTGATGAAGATCAGGCTCTGGCTGCTGGACTCGGGTCAGCATACACTCAGCTTCAACATCACTCTGGGATCTTCCTCACTAGCTTCGTGTTAGCGTGCTCTCTTTATGGATGCTTGCCAAAAAAAACAACAACCAACCAACCAACAAATAAACAAACAAACAAAAAACCCAGTGTCCTGTTAACAGTAGTGTATAGTTGTTTCTGCCCTGGATGCTGTTTGCACATTACCTATGCGAACTTGCTCTTTTCCTTAAATAAAAAAACAAAAGTTTTGTCCATACTTTCACTCCAACGCTACAAAAGCTGTAGTTTGCTCAGCCGTTTTCTTCCTGATATTAGATTGTTGTTCACCTCTCAGAAATAAATATTGTTAAAAGAAACAAACTGTGATCGTAACTGACAGTTGCGGGTTGAGTGCTGTGCTGTGGAGAATGCAGACCATGAAAGCTCTGCAGAAGACTCGTTTGTAATTTGATCATATCTCATTTCCTTTTAGGTGAAATGATATTTAAATAATATAGC